CCGGGAGGCGACGGGACTTCGAGGAGGCAGGGCGACCGCGCCCGCGGGGCGAAAGCACGGGAGGGCATGCAACGTATCATCTCCTTGACGGCTGCCGGGGACTCGACGGGCCTTGAATCGTCGAGGGGCATTGGGTGCCCGAGTGCGCGAAGAGCGGCGCCATCGGCGCGACCACCGACCGCTGCCAGCGACCAGCACTTACACAGCAATGGACGTAAGACACACAGCACGCCGGAGCGCGCCATGGCCCTGCGGGCACCTCGGCAAGCCGCATCGCCGAACCGTGACGACTCCAAGTGGCCTTCCGCATCGTCTTGCAGAGATGCAGCAGTGGTTTTGACGTTTGGGAACGCAAACCCAATGCGATACTTAACAATAGAGAGGGCGTCACAACTGATACATTGAGTGCTGCATAAATAATTGTAGCATTATAAATTCGCTCCATGCGACGTTGGCGCAACGCAGCGGCTTCTGCATCACTACGATGCAGTCTGCGACGCTAGCTCTATCAGCTACAGCATCGCTCGCGATCCGTAGCCTCTGTAACGCTAATGAGTCTGCACGAATTTGAGTCGAAGACAAAGCCACTACCCGAGGGGCTGACCTCCGAAAAGACCAGTTGTATATTTGGTCTAGGAGCATGGCATTTTGAATCTCGTCTAGAAGTATCTTCGATATCCTCGAGGCGTTGCATCAGCTGTGCTCCCAGACACACCAAGCGTGTGTGCGTCGACTTCAAAACAAACGATTAACAATTTAGGAAGACGCGACGTCGAGTGAGCTAAACTGCTTCCGGAGCTTCTCGTAGTGGGCGAGTTCCGAGGCCGAGACCGACGGCACGACAGCAGCAAGCGCGCGTTCAAAGTGCGTCGCGGACACCTCGACTTGGAGCTCGTCCGGCGTCATCTTGTCGAGCACCATCGCCGGGTTGAGCGGCCGCGCAGAGTAGCAATCGGCTTGGTTGGTCGTTTCTGCACAGACACGTCAGACACCAACAACAACAATAGTGTCATGCGCTAAAACGACGTACGAATGTGTGCGTCAATGGCGCGGACGCGGTCTTTGATCGCATTGGCCAGCGCAATCGAGCAGAGCGCGTAAAAGTCGGCGCCGGTAAAGTGCAGCGGGCACGCCGAGAGGACCTAGGACGCGCTTGCGTCATCCTCCTTATCCGGCGTGGACACGCGTACCGTCGGCAAGTGCACGTCGCGCGCGAGGCGAAACTTGCGCGTGAGGGCCTCGACGACCTTGAGCTGGGCGTTTTTGTCGCTGCAGATACCGAGGTACAGCAGTCGATCAAACCTACAGAAGTCGTGTACGCATCCAGCGAATTGCACATAGCGAGGGTCGAGCGCACCGGCCCGGGCGAAGCAACGCCGACTCGATGAGGTCCGGGCGGTTGGTGGCGCCGACGACAAACACTTGGTCGAGGTTGCTGTCGATCTCCGTGAGGAGCTGCGACACGACGCGGTCCATGACGCCGCCCGAGTCACTGCCGCGACCGCGCATCGGCGCGAGCGAGTCAAGTTCATCGAAGAAGAGAATGCACGGACGCGCGTTCCGAGCCTAATATAGACAATCGTGTCATGCCATTTGCGATAGATCAATACTATCGATACCATTTGGAACACGTGCCGAACGTTCTTTTCACTTTCACCAATGTACATGTTGAGGAGTTCGGGGCCCTTGACGCTGATAAAGTTCATGCTGCACTCGGTCGCAATCGCCTTGGCCAGCAGCGTCTTGCCCGTGCCCGGCGGACCTGCGCATGGACATGAGCATCCATGCGCCGCGCGAAACATGGACAAAATGGTCCATACCGTAAAGCAAGATACCCGAGCGTTGTCGGACGCCGGACGCAAAGAGCTCGGGGTGCTTGAGCGGCAATTGGACCTACCGATGCACAATCGTGCAATCCATATCCGCCATACAAAGCGGAGAGGGCCATACCATGTCGAGGATTTCGTCTTTGACGTGGTCGAGGCCACCGACGTCTTCCCACTTGACGTTGGGAATCGTGGCCGAGCCAAGACCGAGGGACGACTTGGTCGCTTGGTGCTTGAGCGCGTGCTCCAAGTCGACCATGTGCAGAGCCAGCGCCGAGAGGCTCTCGATCATCGCATCTTCGTCGATCGTCGCAAGCTCCGAGACTTGCGCGAGGCGGTGGCACGTGGCATCGGCCACCTAGCCGCACAGATGTCATATGGGTATATACGGATGCGTATGGACTGTACCAAGGCACGGAGCTCCCCAAACGTGCGGCCAGCGCTTTGGTGCGCGACTGCTGCGAGGTCCACGTCCTACGCATCACCGATCCATGAATCAACAGTCATATATCCACACGGTGCCGTACGGCCGCCAAGACGGTCGTCGCCGTGAGCTGCTCGAGCATCGCGAGGCGCTCGGCCTCCGTGGGTGCCTCCAATGCCAGCTCGTACAAAAAGCACTGACGCACGAGTGCGGGAAGCTCGCTCGCATCTTCGACCGTCGCGACAAGCGGCACGGCCATCGCGTCCAAGCACTCCATGATGGCACTGCCGAGTCGCAGCGATGCTTCCTCGTCGTCCTTCTACAAGAGATCACAAAATTGGTCGACTGCGATAGAAGCCAAACGAAGCGTTGTACCTCAAAGGCAAAGAACCGGTTCAGAAACA